GCAGGGAATATCAGTTTGGTCTGTGTCCTGATCGATTCACTTTCTCAACTGTTCTTGGTGCATGTGCTGATATAAGAGCAAAACAGGCTGGCGAGCAGATCCATGGCTACCTTGTAAAGATTGGTTCTGAAAATCTGGATGTCATTGTTGGAAATGCTATCATAGACCTTTATGTTAAGTGTGGATGCATTTCTAGTGCCTGTAGATTCTTTCATAGCATGAAGAGTAGGAACATCAATTCATATGCCATGTTAATGTTGGGTTATATTCAGAACAGATGCAGTGATGAAGCTCTTCATCTTTTCTCTAAGATGCAGCACAGTGGACTGTGTGCAAACCGTGTCACCTTTGCAAGAATCTTACGGGGATGTGGCGATCTTTGTGCTATTGATTTAGGAAGACAACTGCATGCTTCCATCATAAAGATGGGTCTGCTTTCTGATGTATATGTCACAAATGCACTTGTGGGAATGTACAAAGCATCTGACATTCAGACTGAATCAAGAAAAAACTCTGAAGAAACATTGGCAGGTAATGTTTCAGAACAGGGTACCACAGATAGTTTCAGTTCAGAACAAAGCTATGTGAGCAGCACTCTTGAAGAACTTGGACTGTTCACATTGGATGAAGAGAATGACCATGTAACTTCTGCCAATGCATGGAAGATCTACACTGGTGCTGCTTCTCAATTCTATGGAACTCCACTTCCCATTCATGTGGTTGGACATGAATTTGGAATCAATAACAACATAGGGAATGTAAACAATGTCAAGTACAATGGGAATAAGCTTTCGCTAAATTACAAGGATTCCAGCTACAAGGGAAATATAAATGGATCTGTTAAGTTATGTAACTTGTTGCAAGAGGACAGCACCAAATCTGATCACTTTGTCCTCATTATTTTTGTTGATAGTAGGAATTTAAAGATGAGGGATGCAAGATTTGTTAATGTGGAACCGCTGAAAAGATATGTTGATGTCCCTGCACTTGGTTTTCCTCCTTGACAAACTATAGTGCAGTATCAGAACTATGAAGTGGACATGCTATTCTTCATTCGGCAAAACTGAACTGCCATGTTAACCTATTGGCATGCATGGACAACCAACTATGACCATAGATCAGAGTCCATGCATCAGCAACTTCTCAGATCGACTCAAGTGTTATGAGGTTCACATGGTGCTGGATGGCTCAATTGCATGGAAAAATAGATCAGAACAATAATCAGTTGGTATGATACAAGTGGCTAGCCCTTGACCTTTTTTTTGTTGAACTTGCTTGTTTTCAACTTTCAGTATTGGTGAACAATTAATTATTTTCGGACAATTTCTTTGGTGCAGGATACACGTTACTCAAACCTTTTGAAGTGGGTGAAATTTGGATTGGAAAAATCAGCTTCAGCTTCGAACATTGATGTGAGTGTTCATGAAGTTTGCTGGGACAAAGTTTGACTGTGTTTCCGCATAGCTTTTGCCTATATCTCTTTTGCTGCTATTCCCTCTTGTACTGTATAAGTTCTCTTTTAGTCTATTCCGGTTGTAATATTTTTTAGTCATAAAAACATGTTGTTTAGTTTAGGACAAGATTTGGTCAAACCTTAAAAAGTACATACATCAATAGCTTTAAAATTGTTTAGTTTGGAAACATGTAAGATATATGTGTAGATTTGTATTGGAAAATACTTGCAAAATCTCATAAATTTGAAGGGTTCTTAAGAATACTTTCTAGAAGATATTAGTGATCAAAGATATTTTTTTAGACATGCATAGAAGATCGTGCATAGTCGAATGTGACAAGTACTTTTGACCGAATGGTAGTATCAATATATCATGTAATGCGAAAAGAAGTTGACTCATGCAGTTACTTTGCATCATTTGCTCCACTAGCCCTGTTCATGGTTTGGTTACAACCTGGGCAACCCGCCAAACCAACCCAGCTAAACTGTTCTTAACAGGTTGTGCAGGCTAGCAATTTTTAACCAGTAAAACCGGTCAGGTAGAAGTGAGAACAGGAACTCACGATGTGCTTCAGTCTTGGAATGGAGGAGAGTGGGGCTGCTACGGCGGCTGCGGAGGTGAGCTGGGACATGGGAGATGCTTGACAAGTCATGATTCTTCGTCCTAGGCTCAGCACTCTTCTCGTATGTGTTCGTGGTGCCCTGTGGCCTGGCCGTGGTGGTGAAGAAACAGCTGGAGGTACGGTAGCGTCACTGCCACAGATAGCCATGGCGACCGCCGAGCGCCGCTGCCATCCTCTGGCGAGATGGCCACATTATTTCGTTCCTCCGCATCGCCGTGTCTATTCTCATCGGCTACAGCTTCGCCATCACGGTGTGGTGCATGTGCAGGAGTTGCTGGACATAGCAGCATTCGTCATCACCACCGCTTGTTCTCGCTGAGCTCCTCATGTGCCTCCTTCCTCGGACGCATCGAGCAACTCGTCATGCCAGAGAAGGCTGCCAGCGAGAGGCTGTTTGCAGGCTAGCGTGTGCAGGCTGCTGTCCTCAGATACGCGTTCATCTGCCACGTGGCCAAGATCATGCTGCCCGCTGTCGCTAGGATGGCCTCCTCAATCTCCGGTTTCAAACCGAAACCACACAAACCGGCAAATCGACCTTCCTAAACAGTAATCATACGGTTTGGTTTGAGAAACTGCCTAAACCCATGTTAAACCGCCGTTGAATAGGCTATCCACCAACTTTGTTGGACTATCAAATCTTAAAATCATGTGAGTAGAAAAAAATCAAGTGAAAATTAGCTGAAGAACACTGTCTTAGTCAGCATTTCCTATATGGCTTCTTTTTGGTTGTGGTTCATTCATCAACACTGAGACATGGTTTTGACACTCCAACGCTATATGTGCCATTGCTTTTGTTTTGCACTTGTCAAGGTGTGGGTTTGATAGCTGATGATCAACAGTATTGTGTATTCCAACTAAGGCCTACTAGTTCCTGTGTAGGTTCAATGTATAGTAAAATGGAATTGCCAATAATTTGTATACTGAAGAAGTATAGCCAGAAAATCTGTTTCCTTCTTGGAATTTCTTCTCGCTATTCCAATTCTAGGTTCTGACTTCTGGTTGTTCAAGCCTGACATCATATACTTCACATGACTGGTGTATCCATTTCTACTTAGCTCATCTTTGTTTCATTTCGATAGGTACTGGCATTGAACTTTCGTGAAATGAATATTACAGAAGGAGCAAGATTGAAGAACGATGTGCATTTTGATCGCATCATTCATAGCTATCATCTGCAAATTCAACAACTTCAATGTATGTTTGTCCACTCCCCTACATTTGTATTTCTTTTCTAACTTATCTTTTGTCCGAATTTTGTGTTCTTCCTGGAAGTTCAACTACAATTGGTATCAGGAAGCTGATCTTGGTATTGTACTAGTATGACGGTCTCAACCACCGTATGATTACTGATGCCTTGCTTCTGCCAATTATGCTGTGCCTATTTGATGGTACTAGATGCCTCAAGTTATGTAAACCGAAAGGATGCAGCATTGCAGCTTGAAACTATACTCGTTGAACTTTTTTTTTATCATCTTGCACTGTGTCTCATGCAGATAGAACAACATTTTCCTTAAATAAAGGATCTCATGTTAACACACTTTGCTTGTTCATCAGGGCCTGAGAGGAATAGAAGATACCCACAGCACCATTCGGTGAAATACCACTATACCACTACCATTGAAGTGCACGTGTCTGAATCAAGAAACTTCGAGGCTTTTTTGCTTTTACATAACCTAGCTGCCATGCACCTTATTTTTTTGGTTGGTGCACCTGGATTATACTGTACTACTAACTTGAGGCTGTAAGCTGTCCATAGAGAGAATTAGCTTTAGGTACACTGTTACTTGTACTGGTGCTGTATATGGTGGATTCAGATGCTGTGCTTGAAACTGTTATCATTCACCAAACCTACTGACTCAGGTGAGTTTTGTCTCATTGGAAAGTTGGACATATATGTACAAGTGATTTCTTCTGAAATATTTGTTTGTACTACTTTTATTTTGATGCTTATCCGTTCAATTCATTGCAGATATTTGTACGGATGTTGCTGCTGCTAAGAGAATATAGCAACTTAATCATGATCAATACTACAACAGAAGCAGCTCCTGGAGGCGGGCATGCCTTTGAATGTTTTGCCCTTACATTAGCCTGAAATCAAAGCCGAACAAGATTAACCCATGGGCTCAGCGACTGTTCACTTAAGACCTCACGTTATCTGTGAGCAAACTGCTCTGCTCATCCATGGAGGTCATCACGTGGTTTTGGCTCTTTTCGGCTGCTCGTAAAGCCGCTGGTGCTGATTTGTTGAGAGTGAAAAATAATGTACCATGGCTTATAAGCCAACACTCCCTTTGACTCCACAAAATTTCCCACTTGATTTGAGCAATGTTTTGTCATGTTTCTGTTGCACATGGTATGAAGAAACAATTAATTGAGCGCTCATATATCAAGTGGTTTTTAATTTTGATTCCAGAAAACTGTCTACTTGATTTGACCAATGCTTTGTCATGTTTGCATTGCGCATAGTATGAAGAAACAACGAATGAGTGCGCCGTTTATTTCTAAGAGAGATACCCGCTCCGAGCTCTCATTGTGTTTCAGTTCTCTTTCTTGGGTCTGATCTCTGGAGAAGTGCAATAACCTGAAATGCTGGACTTGTGGCAATTTGCAAACCGATGCAAAAAATCTGCAAAAATATGATGCCGAAGGGCAGGAGTTCTAGCTGACGTCACATCGGCTTTCCTGTCATGGATTCGGAGACGCAATTGGATGGTCCCATTTGTCAGCGGACCATCTAGCGCAAAACCTTTTTGTCTCACCCTCTTAAGCCCCGTCCCTTCCCACGACACCGCGCGAAGAAATCTCTCCACGCCCACGGCCACGCTCCTCGCCTGCTTCGCCGATGCCAGCGCACTCCTCACACCCCCTCTCCCGCAACCCGTAGCCCCACCACAGCCTCCCCTTCCCCTTCCACCTCCCATCCCATGGCGCCGCGCCCCGCCGCCTCCGTCTTCGTCGTCGGCGCCGTGGTGGCCCTGCTCCTGCTCCCTCCTCCCGCGGCGGCGGCGCCCGTGGGGGTGAACTGGGGCACGATGATGTCGCACCCCATCCACCCGTCCGCGGTGGTCGAGATGCTGCGCGCCAACGGGGTCGACCGGGTGAAGCTCTTCGACGCCGACCCCTGGACGGTCGCCGCGCTCGCCGGGTCGGGCGTCCAGGCCATGCTCGCCGCGCCCAACGACCAGCTCGCCTCCCTCGCCCGAGACCCGCGCCGCGCGCGCGACTGGGTCCGCCACAACGTCACGGCCAACATCAACGCCGGCGTCGACGTCAGGTACCACTACCACCCCACACACCAACTGCCGGCGGATCTAGCTCCCTGAGTAGTTAGTAGCGCTAGCACCGTCGTTGCATTGCCTGGCACGCTCGGGGTGCGCTCGACTGACGATTGGCGCGGCGGCCGGGATGCCCATGCCCGCGCTCAGGAATGTGATTTGGCGCTGTTTGATCAGTGTTTGGTAGAATGGCGTGGCGAGACGAGTTGCCTTGGCGCGAGTACGTGTTTGGTAGTGGTACTACGAGTGCCAATGCCCAATGGGACGTGATGTGTGTTCTGAACTTCTGCTGCTCCGAAAATGTTTGATACAATGCTACCGCAGTGAGATGTGCATGTTTAATTTCAAGTTCATGCGAAATGGATGCAATGTTTGTGCTGCTGCTGTACTGTTCAGTTCAGACGTTCAGGTCTCTCTGCTTGCTGTTTGGATGATAGGTCTGTTACTTACAGTAGGCAAGTTTAATAGTAGCGAATTCTATATATGCTTGTCAGATTGCTGAGGTGGCGACCACTATATGGAAGTTCATGGTTCAAGTTGATAGTAGAGTATCATCAGACTTTGCATGCTCGTTCATTCACATTGGAAGCCTAATTTTATGTATGGGTACTTTTCTTAGAGGTCTGCTTTTTGACTTGCTCTTTTTTTGTGAAGATGTTGCATGAGGGTCATACGTGCTGGACTGCTGGTTGCCACGTTCTTAGGAGTGTGCCATGCACCATGCATGTGACTTGTGAGATGAGAAACTGTTTGTTAATAGTACTGTCAGTTATGAGGCATGGAATTGTAAGTGATAGTTTAGACATTTTTACTGGTGAGAGTAACCATAGACTATGTGGCGACTAGTGTGTCATAATTTGGTCTTTCAGGAGTTCTTCAGGACTTTATTGGATCTGCCAGTGAAGTTACAGTATCATGTCTAGGAAGTGACTAGTGAGCTTGGTGCTTTTATTTAACTAAGTTGCAAATGTTCTCTTGTGCATGAATAGTGGTATCATACAGTATATCCATAGCACAGTTTTTTGTCCTTAAAAACTAAAGAGTGAAATACACTGGCGGCCCTTTAACTTGTCGGCCTGTGCCAGTCCGGTCCACGAACTTGCAAACGCGAAAAATGGGCCCCTGACCTTATCAAGTTGTTCACCGCAGGTCCATTTCCCATCCGGCGCGGCCTCCAGGCGACGTGGCAGCGCCAGCGTGGCGGACGAAGCACGTGAGCCGCACGTTTCAGTGTAGGCCCCTCACGTCAGGGTCGCCCCCTACCTCCCGCTCCGCACAGGACGAACGCCATCGCCGGCAGCGCTTGGACCATGCCTGGCCGCGCCCTTCTCCCGTGTCCCCTGCACGACCGAGCACCCCGCGCGGACCCTTTCTACGCGCCGCAGCCCCTCGCCCCGAGCCGCTTGTCCCGCAGCGCCGAGTCAGAGATCCGCCATTGTCGGCATGGAGCCGAGCTCCTTGACCGGCCTTTCCTCTCCTCTCGCGGTCTATCTCCCCCTCTAAAGTGGTGCCCAGAGTGTCGCGTGAGCACTCCGCACTCACTCCGCTTCTCCCCGTGCTCCCTCTCTCGCTCTACAGGCGCCGCCGCCTCATCCCGAGCTAGCAGCGCCGCCGCCGCTGTCGATCTACTCCTCTGCTGCTTTCCAGCAGACGCGAGCTTGTCGACGAGCTTCGGGGCGTGCTAAGGCACCCTCTAGTGCTCCCGCGCTCTTCCTCTCCCTCTCTGCGCGTCACTCTGGCTCGCCGGAGCTACGCTGCCGCGGCCAAGCCGCCTCGCCGCACGTACCGCCGCCTCCGGACGTCCCCCGCCGCGGGGAATGTCCTAGGTGAGTTCGCCTCGTCGCGCTCTCCACCCCCGTGTAACCCGCACAGGCGCTAGCGCTCCAAAGCGCCACCCTGCCGAGCTCGCCGTTGCCGGCCATGGGCGCCGCCGCATCTCGCGCCTCCCGGTCCACCAAACAGTGTGGACGTAGCGCCACCCCGCCGCGTTCGGTATTGAAACGTGCGGCTCACGTGCTTCGTCCGCCACGCTGGCGCTGCCACGTCATCAGGAGGCCGCGCCAGATGGGAAATGGACCTGCGGTGAACAACTTGTTAAGTTCAGGGGCCCATTTTCCGCGTTTGCAAGTTCGTGGACCGGACTGGCACATGCCGACAAGTTAAAGGGCCGCCAGTGTATTTCACTCAAAACTAAAATAGATATCCATTTTTTGATATACACAAGGCGCAATGGTCATGGTTTTTTTATCACCAATTCACCATTCTCATGCATATAAGGCGAGCATGTTTAGATGGATTCATTGAAATTGTTGAACAGAAAATTACAGTATGCTATAGTTCTTAAGTTACCCAGTTCCAGTCTTTGTATAGTCCTATTGTGAACAGTCCTGATACCTATATGCCACTTGTTCAGGTATGTGGCTGTTGGCAATGAACCTTTTCTGAAGAGCTATAATGGCAGCTTCATCAACATTACCTTTCCAGCACTCAAGAACATGCAGAGGGCTCTAGATGAGGCTGGCTTTGGCCAACGGATCAAGGTAGTTGTGCCACTGAATGCTGATATCTACAGCTCCCCTGAGAACAAACCAGTGCCATCTGCTGGGAGTTTCCGCAAGGATATCAATACCCTCATGGTTGACATTGTTAATTATCTCCATGCAAACGATGCGCCCTTTGTGGTTAACATCTACCCATTTCTCAGCCTATATCAGAATCCCAACTTCCCGCTGAATTTCTCCTTCTTTGATGGTGCCACCAAGCCAGTGTATGATCAAGGAATGGTCTACACCAATGTGTTTGATGCCAACTTCGATACTCTTGTCTGGTCATTAAGGAAAGCTGGTGTGCCCGACATGAGAATCATTGTTGGTGAAGTTGGCTGGCCAACGGATGGTGATAAGAATGCTAACATCAAATATGCACAGAGGTTCTATAATGGTTTTCTGAGGAAGATGGCCAAAAATATCGGCACACCTCTGAGACCTGGTCGTATGGAAGTTTACCTGTTTGCATTGATTGATGAGAACCAGAAGAGTGTCCTGCCTGGACGCTTTGAGCGTCACTGGGGACTATTCACGTATGATGGAAAACCAAAGTTCTCTATGGATCTCAGTGGAAATGGCAAGGGCAATTTGGCTGAAGTGAAAGGGGTGCAGTACTTGCCATCACAATGGTGTGTATTCAACAAGGATACAAAGGATAAGTACAAAGATCTGCCGGCCTCTGTAAACTATGCATGCTCAAATGCAGATTGTACACCACTGGGGTATGGGGCCTCATGCAATGGTCTCAGCCATGATGGAAACATATCATATGCATTCAACATCTATTTCCAGACAATGGATCAGGATGTCAGGGCTTGTTCTTTTGGAGGCCTTGCAATGATCACAACAACAAATGCTTCACAAGGAGGGTGCTTGTTTCCAGTACAGATTCTGAGTGCTTCAGGAAGAGTGGTGCCACTGATATTTTGGCCTATAACCTTGGTTATGCTAGTCTCTGTGATCAATCTACTGTAGACATGGACGGATAGTAGTAAGCACTGAAATATTAGGTTACTGAAGCAGTAATAGGTTTGCACATACACAGGAAAGAATAGTCACTCAAAATGATGCTGATGAGGACAACAAAATTGTCAAACACAGTCGTGTTCTCTGTGCTACTGGCAGTAGTACCATACCTCATTAACTTTGGATAGTGAGAAAGCTACACTTTGACATGTGGTCGGTAGAAGCTACATTTTTCTACTGTTTACTTCTCGCTGATGACCTTTTACGACATCCATTGCTGTGCTGGCTGCTGATATTTTACAGCAACATGGCTTTCACTTCCTTTTCGATACAAAATACTGATGCTACCTGTTTACTGAGTAACAGTCTGTGTCTGTAGTATATGAAACGAACAATTTGCACAGCATTACTGCCCTGTCCTTTATTTGCTGGTTTGGTCTCGTCTGGATGCATGAAGTATGAACCAAGTGAAAGAAAACATTCTTCTTGTTTCATGATAGCTACAGTGATCACTGAATTCCCATGTGTGGTATGTTTGTCTGTCCAGTCACTTCTCTAGGGAGAGAACATAATGCTGATCATTGTCCCTTGTTCAATCCTCTTTGTTTCGTTTCCGGTTATCTTAGTTCTTTGGGAACATTTATTTATGTTTATTGATTCTTTTGGTCTAGTCAGTTCAGGGCAGGAATACCTGACAGGAACTGCGAAGGATCGAACGTTGTGGAGTCACAGACATGGTCGATTCATTACGAAATTCCGGACAAGGTAACCGTAAGGTTTGCATTATCTTCTTCTAGGAATCTGATTTGACGAACTGAGATTCGAAGCTCCATCACGGAGGTCAGTGGAAGCTATCTACTCTTGGCACAATTTTCCAGTTAATTCTGCTGAGTCAGTACTTGTCAACCTGCGAACCAGAAGACACGTCTCCAACTGGAGTCCGCTGGATGTGCGAACGGTTCCATGTCCTCAATCCTTCATACCAGGGGCGGGCTCACTTGTATTCAATGGTATTCAGTTGAGTACCCAAATTTTTTGACAAAAAATTTTATACATATAGTGCATATACAAGTCCGTATATGAAAAAAAAACAAATATACTGCGAACTGAATACCTCTACAGGCGAATAGGTCCAATTGTCACTCTGGTTTTCTTTCCCACCGATGGCCCAACGAGGCTGAGCAGCCCAATTTCTCTACCGGAGGCCCAAAATCGTGCTCCCACCTCCTTTCTCCTGGCTCGCACGCACAGGGAAGGCTCGCGGAGTCACGGTCGGCCGAGCCGCGTGATCTCCGTTCTTTCCCCAATTCCCCCGAACCGAACCGAACCGATGAACCCTAGCTCTGACTCCGACCTCCGAGCGACGAGCGGCTAGCGGCAGCGGGCGGCGGCGGCGGCGGCGGACAGAAGGCTCGGGCGCGCGCCAGCAGCTAGGGCGGGCGGAAGCCGGCTGCCGCCGAGCGCCAGCAGTAGACCAACACGCCAGGCACTGAAACAATTTCAATTTATGCTCAGATTCAGATTCTAGTGGAAATTCTGCTAAATTCTTGAACTATATATCATGCAATTTTAACTATATGGCATTATACATGACGAATATTGGCCATTTGGTTTTCAGAAAAATATTTTGTTACCCCTTTATGTTTTGAATAGCCAGCTCCCAAATCCTGGGCCCGCCGCTGCTTCATACCAATTTTTTCGGTGCTTAGACGGTCTCCAACAGCTCATGCAAAGTGCGATGCATACCTAAAATCGGTCATGCACGGTGTTTTAGCCGGCTCCAACAGAAGACGCAATCGGAGCATGCATTTTAGGGACGAGGTTGACCGGGAGACATATTTGCGTCATCCTTCTCCAAGACGCAAAGTCTTCCGCGGCAGCCACCGCCTTCGTCACCGCCTTCGTCCTCTCCCTACAGCTCCTCGCCCTCGCCAAGCTCAACTCCGGAGCCGGCGTGGGGGCCACCATCGCCTTCGTCACAGACAGTGGTGGAGCCCGCGCCGCCGCCGTGGTGGTGGAGACCACGCCACCGCCGTGGGAGCCCCGCGCAGCGCAGGAGATCCACACCGCCCGCCCGCCACCACACGCGGGCCCCTGGCACTGATCCATGCATGGGCGTGGCGCCACCGATGCCTGAGCAGCGTGGGGAGATGGCCGCGGAGCCCCTCGCCGCGGGGCACGTGTACAACCAAGGGCACATCTCAAATAGGGGGCAGCAGGCGGGCATCTCTCTGCCGAGCCCTCGCCGCCACCGGGACCTCCGCCGGCGGGCGCATCTCCACCGAGAGAGGTGGACTGAGGGAGAGAGAGAGAGAGAGAGTGGAGGAAGAGAGAGAGTGGAGGGAGATGAGAGCCGTCGCCGCCTTCTTCTGAGAGAAAAGGGAGGCGGGCTGTTGGAGGAGGAAGGATTTGGGTAGGTGACCTATTTACTGTGCAGAACTTAAATCCGGGTATAGGTCGCTGATTTAGGTATCAGTTGTTGGAGATAGTCTTATACATGCTTGCCCTTCGAACTATGGATGTTGATGATCGATATAAGTTCATTAATTTCGATTGATGCAGACGGATTCCCCGAATCTTAAGGAAAAAATTGCAAAAATGACACTTGAAAAATTGACTCCTTGATTATGATGACACTCGGGTGGATGACAAGTGGGTCTATCTGTGTCTATAAATATGGGTCCAGTATCAAATCTGCAAACGACCAATATTTTGAGTCCCATTTTTACAAATCGCCCAATCTTAAGTGGTTGTTTTGTCAATTCGGAATCTTGATTTCGCAGGGATCGACCATGCACAGTACGTTGCAGCTAGCTTCAATTACAGCCGCGCAGCATCTAGTGGGACCTTTATGTTTTCATCATCAGTTGACTTCTGTTTTTTTTCAGGAAATACTTGGAGGATATTTATTATCGAGTTCTAGAATCATTTGGCAAATATTAAGTATTTACCACTCAAGAATGTTGAAATAAGAAATAAACCCACACATGCTTTAAATGTCACCTTGTACGAGTAGTATATAAACTCTTTTTTTTTTGTTGAGCTTGTCCAATTTGTATGGGTGTACCGACCATGGTTGGCCGTTGTTAACACCCCATTAATAAATGCTAAGGTGTAAAGATGCTACTCCCTCCTGGTTTTCATCAAGTTGTCACAAAATCAATGCTGTATTGAAAGTTATTAGAAATAGAAATCTACTCACAAGATCCCTGAACTCTTAAAATGCTTTTTTAATCTTCGAACTTATCTTTGCGCATCATTTAGATCCTAAATTTTTATTTGAAATGTTAATTTTAGGTCCCTGAAGTTGTCTTGATGTGTCATCTGGGAACTTGTCATAGTGTGTCATTTAGATCAAAATAGACTTTGATCTACTCCGCGTCACGACATCACATACTATAACAATTGGATCAACACCTAATTCTTGACCGTCGCAGGAATTAATGACAAAGCAATCGTTTACCTACCTCATCCATATAAGGAGCACTTAGCTTTGGCCTTGTCGCCACCACTACTGGTAATGGTGTGGTCTTTGATGTGAAGGATGATGAAGGCATAGGTAGGGATGTGAAGTTGGTGATGGAAGAAATAGCAATGTTTAGTTTAGATTTATAGTTCTATTTTTTTAAAAATAAATTTTCTTCTGATTCACCAAAGTTCTTATCTCTTTCTAAAGGAATTTAAAAAAAACAAAATAAGAAAAAGAAAAAAATATTGGAATTCTAGATTTTTCAAATTTCTCTCATTAAAATATTCCAAAATTAAGAATGGGTTAGCTGCTTAAATTTAAAAAGCAAATCAAAGAATTTCGGTATCTAGTTATTAGCTAAAAATATTTCTTAAAATACAAAAAAAGATTGAATCATTTTACTTTCTAATCCTTTTTGTATTTCTTTCTGTTAAAATAAAAGAGCTATATGCCACACTATATTACAATGTAGAGAGCATGTAGATAGAGGCGATAATAGAGAGTGAGATCACATAGATGGAACACTAGATGCCAATGCGAGCTGGTTAGAGCTCATTTGGATCTAGATTACACATTGATAAGTTTGAGGATCTAAAAATAGAATTTTAAGAGTTTTAGACTTGAATGATACCCGAAGACAACTAAAATTACTATTTTGAGAGATCATGGAGTGAGATAAGTCTAAAGACCGCTCATGTATTTTACACTCTATATAAATTTTGAAATACATGATAGGATCGTTATCCTTCTCACTTGGTAAAAAATCTAGTATCCTATAAGACTCTAGAATGGATTGGGACATTGACAAAGTTGGCCCTAAGTAGCTGAATGCCAGCAAGCAAGATTTTTCCATGTTGTCTACTGAATCTGCAAGCCCGCAACTGCAAGAAAGTGGAATTTATATAAACAATAAAAAAAGGTAATATCCACCACCCTGTACAACTATATTTATACCCGCGTGGCCGCGCCGCCCAGAGGCCACAGGCCAGAGAGGCTGAGACGAAACGAAGCCAGGCGAAGGACGCGCGCGCACGAACGGCTCGCTCTCCCAAACTCTCGCACCCAGATCCCTTCCGTTTCAGTAAAAGCAAAGATTCCGCCGTCCAATCCCGAGCCGCTCGCTCCGCTCTGTTGATTCGGGCTGGGGCATGGCGCCGACGCTGAACCAGAGCCAGCAGCAGCAGCAGCAGAGTCCGGCAGAGGCGGCGGCGCCGACTGCGCGGAGCATCCCGGACGAGGCGCGGCGGCTGCTGCACGAGCTGGCGGCGGCGTGGGACGACGTGGCCGTGGCCGGGTGCGGGCGGCGGGAGCCCGAGGTGGTGCCGCTCAAGGGCGCCATGACCAACGAGGTGTACCAGGCGCGGTGGGCCACCACCACCGGCGGCGGCGCCGAAGCGGGCAGGGACGCGCGGACCGTGCTGGTGTGGGTGTACGGGGAGGGCGTCGACCTGTTCTTTGACAGGGAGGACGAGGTGCGCACGTTTGAGTTCATGTCGCGGCACGGACTCGGCCCCCGCCTCCTCGGCCGCTTCCCCAACGGCCGCGTCGAGGAGTTCATCCACGCCAGGGTGCGCATTCTTCGCTTCTTGTATTCTTCTTCTTCTTCATCATCACTCGTTTTGTCTCCTTCACTGCTTCTTGGACCGATCCTTCTTGTTTTCTACTACTAGTATATGCCCTTACCATTCTTTTAAATCCTACTAGTTTAACATTACTTCTAAAACTCTTTTTCGGAAGGAATCTATCTCTTCTCTAGTTCTTTGGAATCTTTCGGTACCTTTTGCTGGCTGGGTAACTTGGAAATGGGAGTCGAGTCTTCACTATATTAAAGCGCTCCGTTGATCCATTCGCTAATACTAGCATCATAAAAAGTTTTCCTTTATTTATTATAGGAATTGATCCATTCGCTGGGATAGCATCATATTAAGCAATTTCCTTTACTGGGAGAGCTGAGGGGGATTGTTTAAAGTTTCAACCAACGGAAAAGACTTTATTACGTAGCATATGGATTATTTCTCCTCTATGGACGAATAACACATTCCTCCACCAGACCACCAGCATGCTCCCAACTAATGTTTGGTTTCTCCTCTAAACTTTAGTCGCTGTCCCATCGGATGTTTGGACATGCATGGAGTATTAAATATAGACTAATTACTAAACTAATTGCATAGCTTGCGACTAATTTGCGAGACGAATCTTTTAAGCCTAATTAGTCCATGATTTGACAACGTAATACTACAGTAAGCATGGGCTAATGACGGATTAATTATGCTTAATAAATTCATCTCGTGGAGTACTGACGTATTCTGTAATTTGTTTTTTTATTAGTATCCGAACACCCCATGCGACACCCTCACGTGACACCTCCTAAATTTTAGTCATCGGATCCAAACACCCCCTAACGTGTTGATGTGAGGTTCTCTTGCTTTGACACCTTCCTCCCCTTATGATGTAGATATGAACTGTACTACCATAACTTTAAACAGTTTGGCCTTTAGAATCTTATCCGAAAACGATCATTTAGGTCTGAAGTCAATAATGAACTAAAGAATTCAATACTAGTGCCACGGTTTTTCTACTCTTCTTGAGATTTGCATTGCGTACTTTAAATTGTTTCCTTGACATTGTCTCTGAGATACTTGCCGTCACGGAAAACATTGAAATATTTTATTCTGATTCGCAAGGCTGATATGCTGTTGTCACTTGTTGACATTTCTTCCTGCAAATAGTATTTGGTACTTGTAGCACTGCATCTATGAAATTGCTTTAGAATTCAGGACACAGAGACGCTAATAGGTCAACGCTCGAAGATTTTCTGTATCTACTTTGGTTAATTACTCAACAAGACTAGGTCAGAGTGTTGAAGTTAATTGGCTTTTCAGGAGAAAAGGTGTGAGTAGAAAATTGGTTAAAGCATCACTCTTCGGTCTTCATTTTCCTTTTCTTCATACCATTTTATTAAAAACATAAAGCATCATGCTCCCTCTCCTTGCTAAATACAAAGGACAAAACATGCAGCATTCTCATTCGTAGTTACCACGAGAATGAGATATCTTAGTACTACTAGTATGACGTGGATCCCATTTTGTTAAATTTAGGAAGTTGACATAACTATTCCTTTCAGACACTTTCAGCTCCTGACCTACGTGATCCGGAGATTTCAGCTATTATAGCCTCCAAATTGAGGGAATTTCACAGCCTTGACATGCCTGGTTCAAAATCCGTGCTCATTTGGGAAAGATTAAGGTACTGCAGTTTTTTTTTAACAGTTCTGGTGTAGCATATTGTAAAACGAAACTTATCATCAAAGTGAAGTACTGATTGCAACAGTGCCTCGTTTCCACTAGGAACTGGCTCAAAACTGCCAAGAGCTTGTACTCCTCTGATGAAGCCAAAGAGTTCTGCTTGGATAGCATGGAGGAGGAGATCACTGCGTTGGAGAATGAATTCTCAGAGGAATACGAGCACATAGGATTTTGCCATAATGCAGCCTGTTCGGGAGGCCGTATCGTATCGTGGATTATTTACTGCTGGCTGGTTTGGTGTGAGAGAAAAACACTGTTCCCAGCTGGAAATTTACGATCGTTTACGAGCAAGCGAACAGGCTGCACATCTCTAGTATGGAAATATCATGATTGATGAAGAGACCAAACTTCTGACCATTATTGTAAGTTCTTGTTACTCGGTGTATGTTTGGTTCACTAATTTGTTCTCTCATGCACGTCGTTGCTGCATTTCTGTCATATGTTTCTGAATTTAAATGACTATCCCATCTGACTTATCCTCAATAGTTGGAAAATATATTGTTATTATCTTACTTTATTTCTCGCCTAATGCCTTTGCAGGACTACGAGTATGCAAGTTTTAACCCTGTTGCCTATGACATGGCAAACCATTTCTGTGAGATGGCCGCAGACTACCATTCAGAAAAGCCGCACGTATTGGACTACAATAAATATCCAGGTACTGAATATATTTGAAGCTATGGATTTGTGTATTGTTATTTCTCTTAGATGTCTTGATGGGGCCTATATTTGTTCACTCATCCTTGCTTACTGCTAATATTGCGACAGATACCGATGAGCGGAAGCAATTTGCGCAGACATACCTGAGCTCCTCAGGTAATCTAATGTTTACTGATTTATACCAACCTCTAGTTTATCTCCTTACCGGTTTTTAGGAATACGTATTTATCAGTTTTAGAAAATGAATTCTGTTTCTGATTCCCTGCAATCCCTACCAGGTGAGGAATCTGAAGTGGAGGTAGAGAACCTGATCAAAAGCATTGAGAAGTACACCCTTGCCAGCCATCTAGTCTGGGGCCTTTGGGGAATAATTTCGGTGGGTTCGTCTTACCTCCAAACCAGAATAGCATGTATGTACGCCATTCATTCATCTAAATCTCACATGCTCTGGCTGCAGGACCATGTCAACGATATCGACTTCGACTATAAGGAATACGCGAGGCAGAGGTTCGAGCAGTACTGGCTGAAGAAGCCGACCATCCTAACTTCTCAGACTGCTGAATAGAACACGGGCATCAGGTTCTGCACTCCACCGATGGCCTCTGCTGCACATAGCTTGTCCATTCTTCTCTTCTCATTGAGGATTGAGGTCTGTCCCTGGGACACAAGGTTGTTAAGAAAGGCTGGACCCAGAGGCCAGGTCAGGCATTCAGGGAAATCAGGGCTTTATTCGTTTGCTAGCTCGGTTGTTAATAGTGTAAGGCGAGAGATTGTTATAAAACCCTGGGTGCTTGTTGTATGATGGTATGCATGATCACTTCGTGTATGTGTGCTTGGTTAGTAGCTAGCTTAGTGCTGCCTTTGTGTCTTCAGTGTATGGAAAATATATGTATGGACAATCAGATAAAGATTACTGCATGTTCTGTACCTCTGTATTCGGTGCATGTTGTTCTTTAATCCTGAGACACAGAGAATGGCAGAATCACTGATACCGGATACATCACTAACTACAGCCTGAACAAGTGAACATTAGTCTCTCCTATTATAGTCAACAAATAGCTAATTCTATAGCTAAAGTAGCCTACGTTATATACATCGGTGATCTTGAAATTGCATTGGCACACCAAGATGCTGCTGCTAGCATTACATATCCCTAGAGTTTGTCACCACCTGAGGTTCACATTCCATTGTCTGGGTCAACTTCCATTGCTGGATCATCTTCAGGCCCTTCACCACCTCAGGTTGGCCTCTTGCAAGGCTCGTCGACAGTGCAGTCCCGAGCAATGGAAAATTGGTAGGCACACAGGCCATATGTTCCTGCCACACACTTGAAACAGGCAAACCAGGATCAAACGGCTCATTCTCCTTACCATTTCCCTTGAAAAGAGAATGGAGTTAACCCACATGCTGAGTTCTGCCTCGGATCCCTTGTCTAGGATTTCGCAGTCAATCATTCTGCAAGGGTTGGCACCCTACTGCCTATCATCACATGAATGTGACCAGAACAAAATCTGTTCAATTCGATCTGGATGGTGTAATTTTTTAATATATATCTTGATAGGGCAGCAACATCTACAACACCAAATTAGCTGAGTTAAATCCACCATGAAACATGTCATAATAATAGTGCATTTATTTGGTACTGTAGATGTTATATATTTTTCTATAAATTTGGTCAAAGTTAGAGAAGTTTGACTTAGGAGTTAGGACAAAGCTAAAATGACCTACATTTTGGAGTGGGCGAAGTACTCCTTTTACAGCTGAACTTTTTTGCCACTGTTAAGAGTGGCACACTCCCAAATATCATCCTATTATGTGACTTCATCGTCTCCGCTGAAAATGGCACATGAGTGCTAAATATTTGGGAGTTGCAGAAGAAGATGATACTTTGGAGTACACCACTCTTAAGAGTGACAAATAGCTAAATATCCCAAAAAAAATTCAGTAGGGCGCAATGAGTGTCGAGTAGGAAAATCATATGTGCAAACAATATGAAAAGCACACTATTGGAGTCTAGGAAAATATATATTTATCAAGTACTAATAAAAGCTGGGTACAAATATCAGAACCGTGTAATGCTTTCATCTTGCTGCACTCACATTATCGTGTAATGGTGTCCTGCTCCATTATCTTTATACAGCCTGATCTTCAGCTTGAGTCTCCACACATTCCTAATTGAGTAAAACCCGAAATCAACATCATCAATCAAAAACAGAAAATAATTTCTAAGTGATGAGATCTTGAGAAAACCAAAATCGCACCGAGACACCCTTACATTTATGATTTTCCTACATTTCCAGAGCAGGGAGTCAGAATGCTTTCTTTGCACCAACAGTTCATCCAGCTTGCTGAACATTTGACAATGTGTCATAACTAGCTTTGAACCATCAACCCCGACAATGAGGGATGCATCACCTTTCTGGACATCAAGTTGAACTTAGACCTGCGATTTCTTCTCCTTGATAGAATGCAAACATTGCTCTCCCTCTTGCTTATATTGCCTTCAGACAACAAACACCGTGGCTTGAGGAATTACCTAGTTATATGATAAATAGTCAAAGAAAGAAGGGACTTACAATCAGGCCAAAGAAATAAAATCACTAGCTAGAAGCTTCAGTAAGTAAACTACAACTACTAACATTCCAAAAGTTCTGTAAGACACAAATCATAATATATGGAACTATTGTACTTCTCTAAAGATCAAATACAAACCCTGTTATGGCAGGTGGAGCCGGCCCAGGAGGCCCACGCGCTACAGTGCCGCGTGGGCCTCCTGGGCCAGCCCCACCTGCCATAACACCCTGATGGTATGAAGCATGATCATGATCCACTATGGTTAGTCTACCTTTTTCAAAGAGCATACCAACATAATAGTATATATGCTTACCATCCTTTTGTTTCTTGGTGAGAGCTCATGAGCAAAGAAAGATATGGTACCAATATCCAAGTATTATACTGTAGTTCTTATCATGTCAAGTATCACAGTTTTAGTTAGTCACTGAAAGCTATGTGAATTATGGTCTTCTGCAGGTCATTGCAAACCCTTGTTCGGCAATATTGCTAGATGATGTTACTATGACAATGCTATACATGGTATTTCTGTATCCAGTTAATTCATTTCAAGCCACCATATAGGTGCACCATGTCAAAATCTGTGGCACTGTCATTTAATGCAAAATTATCCAAAGATCATTATCCATCCCCAACAAGAAAAGCTTGTAGCTTGTTTCCACTCTGCACCCAGCTATAGGCTGGATTTTTCTGCACCTTCCTTGATTTCATTAATGTCCTGATCTCATTTGCTTCATTCCACATCCCAGACTCAGAATACATGTTTCTCAGCAGAGTATAGTAGCCTGAGTGCTCAGGCTTCAACTCAAACAAATGCTCTGCTGCCAGTCGTGCTAGTTCAATGTCTCCATGTATACGGCAAGAGCCAAGCAATGCTCCCCAAACATCAGAATTAGAAGGAAAAGGCATGTTTGTGATTATTTCAACAGATTCACTCAGTTGTCCAGCACGCCCAAGAAGATCTACCATGCAAGCATAGTGCATTTGCTTTGGCTTAATATTTTGAGCGATCATTTGACTGAAGTACTTCTTTCCTCTGTCTACAAGCCCACCATGGCTACATGCTGACAATACTGCAATATAAGATACATGATCATAATCGATGCCATCATCCTTCATTAAATCAAACAATTCGAATGCAACATCAATTTGACCACGCATCCCATATCCCAAGATCATATTGTTCCATGAAGCAACATCCTTTCGTGTAATCCTATTGAAGATCTTTGAAGCAGTGTCAAGCATTCCACCTTTAGTGTACAAGTACAGCAACGAATTAGCCAGAAAAGGGTGAGCGTTTAACAATCTCCTCACTAAAACACCATGGATTTCTTTTCCTTGCTTAAATGCAGAAAGATTAGCCCATGCCGAGAGACAACCCATGAAGGAAACAGCATCATACTCGATTCCAGCAGACCTCATCTGCTGAAAGAGATGAAGAGATTCAAAACAGCATTGACTCTGCGAGTAACCCACGATCAAAGTGTTGTATGACACATCGTCCTTTTCTGACCTGTCAAAGATATCTTGTGCCAAACTCAGCTGCCCACACTTGGCATATACATCAATCAGAGCATTTGATACAAACAGATCAGACATCAAGCTTCTGCGGATTGACCATGCATGGATCTGCTTCCCCATCTTTACAGAGGCCACCCTTGAACATGCTGGAAGCAGATTCACTAGGGTGAATGAATTTGGGCATTCCCCATTCTTCTGCATCTCGATGACAAGCCTGAAAGCCTCAGTCTCAGCTCCATTTTGTGCAAGATTTGCAATCATTGCATTCCATGAGACCACATTTCGTTCCTCAATATTTTCGAAGATAGCAGATGCTTTCTCCAAACAACCAAACTTAGCATACATATCCATTAGTGAGTTGGCAATGAAAATATCAGATTCCATTGCTCTCCTTATACTGTAACCATTCACCTCCTTCCCCAAATGGAAATAACCAAGATCAACCAAAGCAGGCAGCAAACTTGATAAGGTAACAGATCCCGGTGTGACTTCATGTTCTGACATTACCCTAAACATTTCCAGCACATCTTCATGAAACCCTGCATGAGCAAAGCAACCTAATGCAGAATTCCAAGAAACCTCATTCTTCTCTTGCATTCCACTAAACACTCGCATTGATGACTCCAACTCTCCAAATTTCCCATACATATCCACCAGCGCATTCCCGAGGTTTACCACAGAATCAAGTCCAGATTTCAACACCAAACCATGGACACACAACCCAAACCCCTCATCCCGCTCTGTGCCACAGGCAGGCACGACTGACACCAAACTCGCGACATTCACCGGGACCCCGTCCCTCATCATCCCCACCACTGCCCGCTTCGCATCCTCCAGCATCCCATTCGTCAGCAACGCTGACACAAGTGAGTTCCACGAGACGACGTCCCGCGCCGGCATCTCGTCGAACACCCTGCGCGCGTCGGCCGCGCGCGGCGTAGAACGTGACGAGCGTGTTGCCAGCAAAGACGTCCGCGAGGAGGAGACCCCGCCGAAGAGCGGCGGCGTGGAGCTCGGCGCCCTTGGCAGGGTGCTTCCCCTGGGCAACGGCAGCGGCGGCAGCGTGGAGGGCGAAGGGGAAGGTGCGGTCGTCCGGGCGCACGCCGGAGCGGACCATGCAGTTGTACACACGCAGGGCCTCGCTGGGGAGGGCGGCGGAGGCGAGCGCGCGGGAGAGCGAGTTCCAGAGGAAGGCGGAGCGGAGCCGGAGCGGGTGGTGGTGGAGGATGAGGCGCGCCGACGGGATGTCCGGTAGCGCGGCGTACGAGAGAAGCAGCGCGCCTGCGAGCGGGAGGGAGGCGGCGAGGGCGCCGGCGACAAGGGAGGCGGCGTGGGCGCGGCAGAGGAGGAGGCTGCTGCCGCCGCATTGGTGGAGGCGGAGAACGTGCTCGTGGAGGGACGCGGCCGTGAAGGGGGCGGCGGGGACGGGCTCCCGCATTTGTTTGCTGCTTGCAGTGATTTTTAACCCTTTTTTTTTCATTCTCACGGATGACACTCATTCGTTTACCAATTTTACACGTGCTTCTACATAATTACCATCACAAGTAGTAAAACTCATACGTTTTTACCACTTTCGCTGATGTGGCACGCCAGATCGGCATGCCAGCATGGCAGCGAGCCTGGAAGCCCTTACTTAGCACGGGAACTGACTTATTTTTACCCATGCTGCTGCTCTCCCTCTACTCCCTAACGTGTGGGTCCCACATGTCAGCTGCATCCTCAACCTCCAGTCATCGCCACGCAGCGAGGGGAGGGGAGGAGCTCGTGAAAACTGCATGCCGCCAATCGGGGCAGCTCGAGGTGCTTCGATTCAATCCATGTTAATCTCACCCGCCCATCTTATCTTGAGACAATGGCAACCAATAACTTGCGGGTTCACGCATTCGACCATGACAATGGCCGGGCATGCATGGCGGTGGCTACCGTTTGACATTGACATGGTATGGCCCGGAGTGAGTTGGAGTGAGCCGTGTCGACCCGGTACGACGATACCGAAGCCCGACCAAGCGGCTAGCCCCACCATTTGTTAAATCGGCTACCCAAACGATGCCAATGCAAACAAGTAGCTAGACAGCTAGCTCGTCCGATCCTTGGCTTGCCGCAGCTCACCTGCATCTTCAAGGTTCGACTCGCGCGGCACACCGTTGGCTGCAGCGGCGGATCCAAGAAAAATTTTAGGGGGGGCTGAACAAAAGTGCGACAGGAACATACCTCCGATTGCTGCTCGATCTTAACTCTCAGCCCCACCTACACGATAGAACTTTGTCTAAAAATTCATGGGGGCTTTAGGGCTCCGGTATCGGTAGGGGGGACTCGAGCCCCCCCATTGAATCCGCCATACCGGGCCGGGTGCCCGTCTATAAAAGGAGGCACCGCAGCACCGTCCGGTCCATATCTATCACTTTGATCCATCACTTCTTCCACAACACGAACATGTACGTACATAGCTAGCTAGCTCGCACATCATCTATCGCCAAATAAACCAGAGAGTAGTAGTGCTAGCAGGCTGATCGCTAGTTCCACCGAGACAACCATGATGAAGCAGCAACTTGCCAAGCTAGTAGGTGTGGTGACGTTGCTGGCACTGCTAGCTCTGCTGGAGCTGGCCACCACCGCCAGCGTCAAGCTCACCACCGACGACCTCAACTCCGAGGCGTCGCTATGGGGGCTTTACCAGCAGTGGGTGCGCGCTACAATGTAGAACGCAACCCCGTGGAGAAGCTCCGCCGATTCAACACGTTCAAGGAGATGGCGCACCGCGTCGCCTCTCGTGCTGGAGTCGCAGGCCACGCTTCGGGTCTTAACGCCTTCGCCGACTTGAGCTTGCTTGAGTCGCAGGCTCAGGCGCACTCCAGGCCAGGCATAGGAGGCCAAGCTACGGCGGGGACTCTGCACGAGCTCCTCCCCTCCCCTCGCTGCGTGGGACTCCGCACGAGCTCCTCCTTCGCTGCGTGGTGATGGCCGAAGGTTGAAGATGAAGCTGACATATGGGACCCACACGTCACAGAGTAGAGGGAGAGAAGCACCATGTGTAAATAGGTTATTTCCCTTGCCAAATTAGGACTCCCAACCTCGCTGTCACGCTGGTATGTTCACCTGACGTGCCACATCAGCGAAAATGATAAAAGCGTACGAGGTTCACTGTTTACGATGACAATTGTGTAGGAGCACGTACAAAACTGGCAAACAAAAGCATGCCATTCGTAAAGATGGCAAAAAAAAAGTTAAAAATCCCCAGCTTGCAGGTTCCGCGGCGGACCTCGGAAACACCTCTAGCTGTAGAAATGTTTATCAGAACACATACCACTATTCCAATACAACACCGCTGAGCATTTGATTTGACTTTTAGCTAGCAATATGATTCTACCGAGTCAATGTACGCACACACCTTCGGATTCAAATTATATATTGCATTTTATTATGTTTTAAGTCAAAATTTTCTAACCTTAATCAAATTAGTAGAAAAAATATATTCTACAAGCTCAAATAAAATGCTCTGTAAAAATATATATTTTTCATAAAAATATAATGAAACTAATTTGATGTTATAGATGGCGAATTTATCTATAAATTTAGTTAAAAATAAAGAAATTCGAATTATGGAAGTTAGAAGAAAACCCAAAATTTAGAACGGAGTCAGTATAAGGAAAGGGCCAGTTTGGCCCGATGGAAGGTTTCGTGCCTTCGTCACGACGGTTGGGCCTTGGACTGTTCACGTTCACAGGCCCATATCTCTTCTTCCTCCTCCCGAAGCCGCCGGCGGCCTTCGTCTTGCAGGCTCACAGCCACAGGCAGCCAAGGTACGCCGCCGGAATTCACCTCTGCGCGAGGGGTGCAGGGCACCTTTACGCCGCTGGGAGCCCTGCGCTTCGGTTCGCCTCCCCCGCACTCCCGGCTTCCCAGCTCCCACCACAGTACATCCTGCTCGTTCCCCCCGCCCACGCGCCACGCCTACGCACGCCGCCGCCCCCTCCGACGCGCTAGTTCGCTACTTCGCTACTTCCATCGGTTCAGTGGGCACTCCGAAGCCTCGGTTCGCTGCCTTCTGTGCTGCTTTCCAATCTGAAGCTTAGCTCTAGGAACAACCGAACAAGGCGCGTCTAGTTGTGTGCATTGGGGGAGGGATTGATGGCCAACAGCGAGTATGAGTACGTGAAGAGGGAGTTCGAGTTTGATCGCTGCCTCCCGCCCTCTAACTGGATCGTTGTCCGCATCGACGGCTGCCACTTCCACAGGTACACCTCTCAAATATCAATGCCTCCTTTTGTGGATAGTATCTTTTGCTTATCTGCTAAATTTTAGTTTCTCCTTTGTAGGTTCTCGAAGATTCATGCCTTTGAGAAACCGAATGATGAGAACGCTCTAAGATTAATGAATGCTTGTGCCACTGCTGTGCTTGAGAAATTCCCGGACATAGTCTTTGCTTATGGTGTTAGTGATGAGTACAGGTATGGCATTAGACATCCTCCCATATAAGTTCCATTATTATAGAATTTAGTTTATGTAGTACAGTATACCACTCGTGAAAAGAATATCTGTTATGAATTGCTTGGCGTCCATTGTTTATTTTCCAGAGATACATGCATCACACTATTGATTTATATTTGGCTAAAGAGCTCATTATATACTTCATTTAAGAGTTGTATTGGTACACTGCAAGTACTGGATGGATGTGGGGGGTGGGCAGACACATACATAAAATCAAAAATGAACTTTCTAGCATATAATGCATAATCTGCTCTATCATTATAAAATTCTTATATTCATGTTTACCACGCAGTTTCATTTTCAGAGAAGAAACAGAGTTCTATCACCGGCGAGAAAGGTAACTCATTCAGTTTCACTTTTTCGTTGATATTTGAATGTTCATTTGTCTGCCTTTTGTTTCTGAACTGTGAGGCAATGTTCATGGCATCATGATATTGACATATCTACCAATAACTTCAGCAAAATTCTCTCTTTATGTGTTTCCTACTTCACTTCTGTGTACGTAATGAAGTGGAAAGACTTCTTTCCTAACAAAGAGCTGAAGGAGCCACCATATTTTGATGGTCGAGCTGTATGTTACCCAAATTTGAAGACTATTCGTGATTATTTGGCTTGGAGACAAGTGGACTGTAAGCTACTGGAACTGCGATTCATATTTTCTTGTATAGCAAATGAGACCTCATTTATTTGTGCAACTTTTTTCTATGTACACCTAAGTTGTACAAAGCATGAACCTTCGTCAACATAAAAAAAAAAGAGTGATCTATGTACGTGTCAGAATTGAACAATAATTCAATTAGTTCACTGATATGCATATTCTTTGTTTGTGCCTTTCAGGTCATATAAATAATCAGTACAATACCTGCTTCTGGATGTTGGTGAAGTCTGGAAAAAGTGAACAAGAGGCTCAGTTAGCTTTGAAGGTAGTACAAATTTTCTTGAGTTGGTGACCTTTCTATCACCATGGTATAAATGTTTTAATTCAATTTTTGTTTTTCTAGGGAACATTTGCAAAGGACAAGAATGAGCTGCTTGCTCAACAATTCCAAATAAACTATGATGATGAACCAGCTATGTTCCGCAAAGGATCCAGTGTTTACCGAGAGAAGGTGATACCGCAAATGTTATCGATCATGCAAAACAACATCTTTCTTATAATGTGTTGCGTATAACTGTAGGTAGAAACAACTGTGAAGATTGATGACTTTGGGGATCCCATAAAAAGACCAAGATTGAAAGTTACAGTGGCACATGTTGATATCATAGGGCCTGAGTTTTGGGAAAACCATCAACACATTCTTCGAGAAGGTTGGTTTGAATTATTCAGCTGTCCTTTGAACTACAAGCTATGTGTGTATATGGCATTAACTTAATTGATATATTTTGTGAACAGGAAAATTTTTGCATTGGTTTGTAAAGAAATTTGGCATCAATCACATCCTTTCACCTTGTAATTGGATCGTTGTTCGCATCAATGCTTGCCAATTTGATCAGTGAGGATCCCTCTTCTTTTTATCTATCAAAAGCATGCCAGTTCTCTTTAGGATTAGCTTGATTGCCTTATTAACTGGGTTGCTTCATTTCACCCCCAGATTCTCAACAATTCATTCATTTGACAAACCAAATGATGAGACTGCACTAAGTCTGATGAATGAATCTGCATCTTTGATGATGGAGCAATACCCTGACATCGTCTTTGCCTATGGTTTTAGCAATGAGTATAGGTATGTTGTACTCCTTCTAATAACTGTCCTTGGAGTTAAAGACTTGATAAAAAAGGAAAATAAATTCCTTTTTTGTGCTGGAAGAAAACAAATCATATGCTTTGGATGACACAGTTTTCATCTCATGAACAGAAGTGATCTGGAATAAATATAGACTTGGCATGATAAAGATTAATAAAAAGTTTTAGTAAAGCATACAATAAATCTGGAAATATTAACATATATTTAGATAAACATTCCTTGTGGATCATTATTTATTGACATCCATTGCAGATAACCAATCTTACTTTGTTGTTACTGTTGCAGTTTTGTGTTCCATGAGAAGAGTGAGCTATATCAGAGACAGGAAAGGTAGTTATCATTATGGATCATGTGTTGTATTTGTAATTCAAGGGCTAACTGCTTTGGTTTAAAATGATGCCAACTTCTTTTGCAGCCTAATCCTTTCATCATGTTCTTCATATTTCACTTCTCTTTACATAACGAAATGGAAAGAGTTCTTCCCCCACAAAGAATTAATGCAGACACCACGCTTTGAGACAGAAGCTCTATGTTATCCAAAACTAAAGATCGTATGTGAATACTTGTCATGGAGGCAGGCAGAGTGTAAGTTGTATACGCTGAATTCATCTGTTCATTTGAATTAGTGTGAATGAACTAGGTTTCAGTGCTTTCATATGCTGTGATCCTATTGATGTCTATGTCCCTTCATTTTTTAAAGATATCCTACTGCAAGAGCTTGGCTACTCCATCAGTTAAACCACAAGAAAAAAGACATAGATTGACTCATTTATATCGCTATTTTTCAGGTCACGCTGGCAACCAATACAATACATGCTTTTGGATGCTAGTGAAATCTGGAAAAAGCGAAAAAGAAGCCCATGAGATATTAAAGGTCTTCCTTCAATTGATGCTTTAAATCTTTTTCCCTTGCTCTTGCATACTTCTGTACTTGTCTCATTGTCTGCATTCTCTGATTGCTTTAGTTTTGTCTGCAGGGAACATTGTCTAAAGATAAAAATGAATTGCTTTTTCAGCAATTCCAAATGAACTACAACAATGAACCTGCTATGTTCCGAAAGGGTTCATGTATTTATCGGCAAAAGGTACTTTTTGCTGATTTCCTAGAATCACTTGATCTGCAGCTTTATGCTGTGCTCCTGTGCACATACTAGTATAACGCAGAAGAGTGATATAGTTGTAGCATTGCTAAAGCCATAAAGAAGCAATTTTTAGCCTGCCTACATGATTGAAACAACTTTTCGGACAAATCCTGAAATGAAATTTCGGCCTTTCATATCATATATTCATAGATGATAAGATTCGTTGGTAGCACTTGAGTTGATTCCACATTGCATTTACATCAATCCAACTAAAGCGAAACTTGGCACCAAGTTACTACCAGAGGTAGTGCCACTGCCACTCTGTCTTACTCCAATGAATCATGTGGTCGCTGCTATGGTGCAAAATGTTAATGCTCCTATTTCCAGTTTCTGTGTAATTTAAATGGGCCCACCGCAAATGCCGCAGGTGGAAGAACTTGCAGGAGCTGAGGACGGCGACAATGACACAACAAGAGAGCGGTGGCATGTGAAAGTGGACCATGTTGACCTAGGACCCGGGTTCTGGCGAAAGCATCCTTGGATAATGACTAATTGCACTCAGTAGTTCACACTGATACATGGTTCTTATCAACCACTTCGATAGCTAGATTCCCTGAGAACGTTGTTGTACTGGTGTATGTAACTCTTGTTCACACAGGTCTAGAAAAGAAATATAGTTGTTTGTTCACTGTTCAAGCCTTCTATTCACTCTCTATATGTGCTGATGGTTTTCTGAGTGGTCTGCTTGAAGCCATGGTAGCGTTGTGTTAATTTCCTTCCGAGCTGTGAATACTTTTTTTTCCTTCGAAAATCGCCGGCATGATTATGCCAGGCGTATATTGATACGGGAGGACTTTACAAGGCAGTGATTTATGTACAAAGGTTTACATGCAACTCGTCAAAATCAAGCTGGTAAAACCACTGAAACACACGTGGTCTCTACAGAATACTGAATAGCAACATTTGTCGCTACTGGTACCCAAAATATTGCAAATGAAGAATTACTGAAGTTTCGCAGAAGTTGCTGGAACGCAGCAGCAGGTCCTTTTCACTTCTGTTCCAAATCGATGTGGTCGCGTTACGAATTCGCCTGGGTGGTTCAGAGGCAGAGGTGACCGGGCACAAGGATGAGGAGAGAAGATACGTATCAAGCATGCAGGAGAGGCTCACAAGCAATGAAGCAAACGCGTCGTGCCGTGCGTTGCACTGTAACGAGAGGACGCAGCAGAAAGCGTGTGTTGCCGCGCTGTGCCCAAATCGGCTCACAGCTCCCAAAACTAGCTAGACGACGCAGAGAGACCGTCACCTTTTTGCCATTTTCGTGTAATGGCTTATGGCTTACCGTGGCCGCCTCGTGACCGCGCGCACGATGATATGATGATGACCAACACGCGTGACGCGTTCCAGATAGATTGAGCTGCGTGTGAGAAGGGAAAAAGGAGGAGAGGAGACGACGGGAGTGTCCGGTGCGGTGCAGCGTTTGTGTGGACGGCTTGCACGCACCTCAGGCGCTTGCCTGAACGAGGTCGAACATGCCATTTGTGTATGGTAATGGCGCTTTTGACAGGAGGCCAGAAATGACAAGTTTTAATGGCGTTTGGTTTGAGCAATATAACGGATTAATCTTGCACTCAGCACATGGCTAGTTTAGCAATGAGGAATGGATCCATCCACCAAAATTCCTAGGATGACTTCATGATAAGCTGTTTCCTACTAGATTTTTTCTCTTACGGCCCGTTTAGATCATTGGAATTGAATTCATTCTAATAATTATAATTTAGACATAGATTAATTAAACTAATACAGTTATATATGAAATATATTTGTATATTTATTGTTAGGCATATAAGGGACATACTTATATGTTGCATTTCTATTGTAAGGAAGTGAGTTGAAGAGTGTGCTATAAATTGGAGAGTAGAATTATAACATAGTGATCTATAGAATCAATTTTCATCTCTCACCTTATGAATTTGAGATAGGCTTATTCTATAACTTGGGAAAGTTATGGAATGTCAAATTCCAAGCCAAATAGCATAATCCATTAAGTAGATTTCAATTCTTTCAAAATGAAGGCATCCAAATGGCCCCTTAATGAAAACCTTGTGCCCCGTCACATGTTCACGAAAAAAAGAATCAATTGACAAAAAAAAACCGTCATTGGACTCTTGGAGCCTTTAATCTCAACGTTAAGGACAACCTTTCTAAAGCCAAGTATCATAAAGTAGATGAATAATACTTGGGTACATAAGTTTTGTTAGTTTATATAGTCTTTGGCCATACTATTAAGGGGAGGGGGATACTTGAGTGCAGCAGTGTTGTGGCTTGTGGGTAGTTTATGCGGCACGTGTTGAGTTCTCAGTCCAACCGGCCGCTATAAGTAGTTTGAGTTAGTTGCTTGCATGTGTCTCAGTTTTAGCTTTGCTGCCTCGGTGCTGTAGTTCGTTGAGATTTCTATAATCATTGTGCCTTTAAAAGGGTTGCACCGGATGTCATAGCTCTCGTCGTATGTCTGCGAGGAGATGTGACTCTCGGGCCTAGCTGGAGCAAAGGGCATTTCATACCATAATTGTCCCCGTCTCAGGCTTTGGCCTACACCATGGTCATTGGCTTGTATCTTGAGAGAGAGTTTTTTATTTTTTTAGAGTAGGTAGTGTGAGTTGGGTCTATTTTATTTGTGTGTTTATTCTATATGGGGTTTATTTATCCTCTTTTATCCTTCTTAGTACAAAGGTACAACGCTCACTTGCGTGTTTAATAAAAAATATATTGAGAATTTTTTTTGTGATGAATATAGTAAGAAATCATTGTGAATCTGTGTAGCTTTTTATATATTTGAGGCATAGGTGGAAAAGGTTAACCGATATAATCCTTAAACGACCTACATTTGCAAACTGATAGCTCAATGTTCAGTTTCTTGTGGTGAGATCCATTTATCCATATGAGTTTAATTTCTAGATTTTACATAAGTGCTCATATTTTCTAAAATTTATTCCATAAAGAAATGGCACAGATGCTTGTAGCATGTGTTTGGTTCATGGGACCATTGGGGATAGGATGGGTGGTTCTTGTTCCAGAGGTGTTTAGTTCAGAGTCGTGTGGAATGGAGGATATCCCTCTAGGAAATATTCTGCAAATATGCTCTCAAATCGGAGATCCTCCCCATCCCCCAGAGACGAGTGGACGGTGAGGGATGAGGTGGGATGAGTGGGCCACATGAGCTGTTGCAATCCGAGGTGAGCGCGTCGGAGGAGGTTAAGACCTAGCGAAGGAGCGAGCAAGACACACTCCAGCGCAGGAGGGGTGACCTCGCGGAGCTGCATTCCGCTATGGGCGAGGGATGGAGCTCGTGGGGCTAGGCCAAAAGCAAGCAGTGCTCTGCTGCGAGATCCATGACGAAAGGGGCAAGCTCCGTCGGTTGGTGTGCCCGACTCCGCTGGTGGAGTGCAAGTGGCGAGAGGAAGAAGAACAAGTGAGGTGAGATAGGAAAGAATAATAAAAAGGAGGCTGACAAGTAGACCCCATGTGTCAAATTTGTCACCCCAAATATTTTATCCACAAAATAGGACCGTCCTATCCTCTTTGACCAAACATGAAACATGATCGATTTCATCCCTAAAAACTAGGTTAGGTCCATCTCATCCCACCATGACTTTGAACTAGATACATAACAACATAGATGTACATAAGTGTATAATGTGTGTACATGCATGTACACGTGAGCATTGTGCATACTTTACTTTCAAGAAAACAAAAAATAAAAAGATATACATTTAGAATACGTGATAGTAATTTTTCTGGTATCGATCTATCCGGTGGCATTTTGCCACCTGTCCTTCAGTTAGAAATGCCATCCTTGCCCCTCCCTTGTGTTAAAAGGGAGCAGCAGCCCCTGCTCTTCTGCGCACAAAACCCTCCTCGTTAGAAATGCCATCCTTGCCCCTCCCTTGGTCAATTTCTATTTTAGAATCATATTTTCTATGAAGACAAATAGATGGAACTAAGTAATTCTTAGTATAAACAAAGATAGCACAAAAGGAATCTCAAACACACAGGAGAACTGCACATCTTTGTAATAAGAAAAAATAAAGGAAAACACAAATTTGTTACCAAAAAAAAACTGCACTTCTGCCTACCGTCTATGATTATGCATGATCTACATAACTATTACACTGCTGCAAAGAAAAAAAAAGTGTCTACTTTCCAATTACCCTTTTCTTTAGGATTACTTGTCCTCCTATCTCTAGAGACTTGCATGAACATATTGTGCCTTTTTTTTTATCTCTGAACATATTGTGCCTTGAGAAAGAGGTTTCCTATATTTTTTCTTTTTAAAGCATGTTTGGTTAAGTAACCATTTATCATGGTAAATTCCAAATCAGAGATCACAAATAAATGTATTTTCGATTTTGATCCAGATAGTTGGAAGTTTCTCAATATGGAGAAGTATCCTACTTCTTCTATTTCCCCTTGTATTTTTTTGTAGTTTATATTCAGTTGTTGCCAAGCATACGCCAAACTTAATATACTCAGAACATATTCTCTCACTTTTCTTCTATATGTCTACAGTGATTTTATTGATTTCTCACATGCAAGTTTCAGCTCCTTTCCTTCTGGGAAAGACACATGATCCAGCTTTCAAATGGACGATTTATGGCTTCTCAGCTCTATTTGAGAGGGAAGCTATAACAGCCAGCTCTGCTTCTTTTGACTGCTGCGGGTACAAATGGTATGCATTGTAATCATAAAAAAAATGCATCAAGCAGCACTGAACATATCATAGGTTTGTCTTGTGGTAGTATGTGTGTGGGGTTGGAGGGCATAAAATAGTTATCTATCAACAGCATTAATTAGACTGCCAGTTAGTCACAAATCATGTTACAGTGATGCAATAAGCAATCACAAAACCCTAAAAAAGTCCATATGTTTTCTTAAGTCTTCAGTTATCATCTGAGTTGGTATTCTGCTCTTTATTCATTTACCAGGTTCCTGCAAGTGACCCAAGGCATAAAAAATCTGGTACTAAAATTCCATATGTAGCTCTTCCTCTTACTGTATGTTATGTTCACTTGGCTCATAAACCGAAGCAGCTTGAAGCCTGGTTGCGTCATGCATGCTGCATTCGAGCTATCTATATACAGTCACTCAGATGGGTCATATTGTGGATGCAAAGGTAGTTTCCTGAACTTATTTTTTAAAAACAGAGCCTTCTTATTACAGCTGGAACTGGAAGTTCTTATCAGTCCATGCTTGTACGCTTAGGGCCTGTTTGGTTGAGCTGTAGCTTTTATAAAGTTGCTGTGAGCTGTAGCTGTTGGAAAAGCAGCTGTGAGATGTGAGCTGTGGATAAAGCCAAAAGCCGTTTGGTTGAGCAGTTGTAGCTTTTTGGAAAAACAGCTGTTAGCAGGTCCCACGTCTCAGCCGACCCCACTTGTCAGTCACCCAACACATTTTTCTCATGTTTTTTTTCTATACGCGTCTTCTTCTGTCCATGAGCACAGGGAACAAGAGGCCGGTGAGGGGCGGTGCTCCTGCGAGCCCGCAGAGCCTGGGACGGGGCCGCAGCTCGCGTCCGCCAGTGCCGAGGACGGGGCCGCGCCTGCGCCGCCGCAGCTTGGGACGGGACGGAGCCACGCCCGCGTCCGCAAGTGCCGAGGACGGGATGGGGCCGCGCCAGCGGCCGTCGATGCCGGGGACAGGGCCGCGCCCAGATTCAAGCACTAGGAGGGAGAGAAACGGCCGGAGATGGCCTGGCCGCGCTGAGCTTGAGCTCGGGCGACAATGGTGGTACGACGGCGAAAACCGACGCAAACCGGTGGGGAGGAAGGAGGGAGTCAAGGCGGAGCTGTGTGCGCGGCGAATCGGGCGGAGGTGGTTTGGTGGTGGCGAATTTGGCCGGCGGAGCTCGTGCGGGAGGCAATGGCGTGCGCGCCTGGGAGATGACAGAGAGGGAGAGTGAGAGCGAGCAAGTGGGAGAGAGAGATGCGCCACTGGCCAAGCCTGTTTGCAGAGGAGAGGGGCGCCGCCGGAGGGGAGAGGGCTGCCGAAGGGGAGATGCGCCGCCGGCCCGAGCCTGCTTGCGGAGGAGCGGCGCTCTTTCTTTCACGCAGAAGATGACGAGTCGCGAGCAAATCGAACCGGTATGCACATAATGGATGGCATTGTGGGTAATTTTTCACCCCCACAGCCGGTGGAAGCAGCTCTCCCCCGGCTTTAGAAAATGAACTACATAAAAGCTGGCTTTTTGCAAAAGCCGTAGATCTACCATAGGACCTTTGGTTGGCTTTTGGGCTTTTGTGAGCAAAAGCTACAGCCAAAAGCTAAATCAAACACCCCCTTAAGTGATTCATAAAAGTTGGAATTAAATTGAACATCATATGAAGCTTATGTCATTACAACTCAATGTCTAGACAAATTGGTATATGATCAAATACTTCTCACATCATTTTCTAGAACAGCTTTGCACTATTTTAGTTCACTTTTCTTCTGTGCTTTGTTTGCAGGAAGTTTGCCAATTGCTAGCTCTGAATACGGGTTTTAGTTTTATTTTGTTTGGAAAAAATGACTAACCGGCGATGCGAGCTGCTAAGGTTTTTTATGTAACTAGGTAGCAGCGTGTTCGTACGTTGCTACGGGATAACTATCAATTTATACTAAAAACACACGAATCGCACGATAAGATAACAATACTGTAAAAATTAAATACCAATATTAAAGTGACATTTAATCCAAAAAGCAAAGTTTATGAATTTAACACAGTCACAGAGTGCGCGGCGTCGTAGGCTCATAAACTCTACTTTATAGACCTTTCCGTGATGCGGCTAAGATAATATTTTATATTGGCAGGAAGAAATCTTCGATATCCATTTCTTTCATTGTAATCCATTTATCTGGACAATTTTTGAGGTGAGGGCACGGTTATAGTTTTTAGTAGCTTTGCGATATTGTCCGAAGCTATGAGATGATTGATGTCTTACAATGATCCTTTCATTAATTTGGTTTTCTATCTATGTTTAATTGTTTATTCAGTCTATTTTATAGGTACGCCGGTAGATAATGGATGATAAAATTCAAGCATCCATAATTTATCTCTTTGACTTTGAGCATGAGTTTTGTTTTTATCGTAACGTTAGCACGGGCATGCATGAAAAACGAAGATGTCTTTACACTGCAGAAATCTTTCAAGAAGATCATGCATAGATTATTCTTGTATTGAATATTATATATATACAATCACCTAAATATTCTAATTAAACTATAAAATTTTAAATTAGGATACGGGGTAAGACATGCAAACAGATATTTTAAAACTACTTGTAGAGTCAAAGAACTTAATAAATAAATCCTTCTGGAGGCAATGCAAATTCTCTCTAATATTTCATTTGGTGTAGTTAGTGTTATCATAGTATCCGCATGTATTCATGGGAAATAAATCGTGGACAAAGCGTGGATACTTTTTGGTACGACATTTCAATATGGGTCTATCGTCCTGCCAATATCCTTGAGGCAGATCACATAAAGGATAAGAGTCTCTCTATGAGATTGCCCACAAGAGATTAAAACTTATATCTGATCATGGTAATGTTGAATTGCTTTGCATCATAAGCATCGGCAATGATAAACGGGGACATAGGTTTTAGTATGCATAGTAGAGGAAAACTCAATCTTGACCTTCTTAGCAGCTTTTCTGAACCTCTGCAGTGCTAACTTGTCCTTACTCAGATAGTCAAGAGGTGCAAAGAGGTTTCTTTTGTCTTAATTCTCTTTCCTTCTGTGTTAATTCTCTTTCCTTTTGCTCGTTGCCATGTATGCTGGTGCATGCAAACATGCAATATGTATATGGATAGCACAATAATTTTCTACTTCCTATTTTACCGTGATTCCTCTATCACATGACAGGCAATATTGAATCAAGGAGAATGGCATGATCAATCAGTAATTAAGATTAACATGTAACATACGGAAGATGTCGTGGGATCGCAGGCGTGGGCAGACGGACGAACCAAAACAAATATCGCACCAAAAAATGTCCATACTTTGTTCTTTTTAGTTGTAAGAGATTCTCTTTCCTTCTGTGTTAATTCTCTTTTCTTTTGCTCGTTGTCATATATGCTGGTGTATGCAAACATGCAATGTGTATATGGGTAGCACAATAATTTTCTACTTCCTATTTTGCCGTGATTCCTCTATCACATGACAGACAATATTCAATCAAGGAGAATGACATGATCAATCAGTAATTAATATTAACCTGTAACATGCGGGAGATGTCGTGGGATCGCAGGTGTGGGCAGACGGACGAATCAAAATAAATATCGCATCAAAAAATATCCACACTTTGTTCTTTTTAGTTGTAGGAAAAAATGACTCTTACGTTTACAAACAAGTTCCTACTTGTCTAATATTTTCAACATTTTTTTCTATAAACAGCTAGGTACAACTTCGATGTCAAGAAGTCTCATTCGAAGAAGGAATGCCTGATTACTGTTGAAAAACTTCTGAAATCAGCTGATTTTCTGGTTGATGGTAGCTGCGTCTTTGGTGTGAGGATATTACAAGCAGATGTCTCTCCTAAAAACAACCTTGCTGTGGCTCCAGATAATACTATCACAATTCGGGAACTGTTTCTGCAGAAGAAGGAATTCATCAAAGGAAATTACACCCGGAACGTGAACAACTTCCTTGCCTTGAAGGACTCGGTCCTTTCTCCCGCATTTGAAGCCTGTGGGCACAAATGGTTTGCATTTGCCACTTTTCTATTGTATTATATTACTCGTCTCGTGCTATTACTCGTTTCGGTGTAGAGGTATCATTGAGTTTGACGTGTCTAGTTAGACTGACAAGCTTAATCCCGGTTGTTTTTATGTCTGGCGCTTATATGCTGTGAAAATTCACCCCCGTCATTTAATGGAATCAACACGTCTGGTGCTTAATTATATGTCTGCTACCTTTTTTACTTTATTCCTATCAAGTATATGAATGAATTGTCATAATAGATTGTTTTCATTCTGTCTCAGGCACATCCGGATGCATCCACTCGGTAACCAATACAGCACAGATTCACTTTCCATGTACCTGGTAATGCATGACCCGGCTGAGCTTTCTCATGAGTCCGGGAAGATGTTTGAAGTGACCCTGTCCATCCTGAACCAAGAGAAGGGACAACACTACAGCCGTGCAGGTCTTGGCATCTAGGAGTACCTACTAACGTGTCGTGATTTCGTGAATGAATTACCCGGTGTTTCATGCGTGTGGTCTTACGTGATGACAACTGCAGTTCGCCTTGTGTACAATGGAAATCTTGGATGGGATGGTCAGACTTCATTCCACTCAAGATACTGAAGGACCCTTCCAAAGGCTACCTCGTGGGATCCAAGTGGAGTGTGAAGGCGGACATCACTTGCATTGGGTCATCCAACAATGTTCAGACACCACTTGTTGCATCTCTCTTGAAGGACGAGAAGTAATGCCCTTGCATAATGCCTAGTCATTCAGCAGTAATATGATGTCAGACAGTAGTCTTTCACCTGGATTGACATGAAAAGGACCTCATCTTTTCTCCGATAATAAGAGCATGTTCAGTTTGTGTTAGGAGTACTGTAATGTCATATGTGTCTCACTCTGCTGTGATATACGATGTGACAAATGACAATATTTTAGATAGAATCACGTATATGTGCTGTTGGTTTCATCGTAATCAGGGTGATTCATGATTCTGAGCTGTGGTCTCACTTGATTAGAACTAGAGATCATCGATCCTACTACCGGGTATCCATCCTAAAGCCATGAACTTGTTCAATCCAGGAATGAGTGGAAGTATCAATCCACGAAAACTTTAATTTATTTTTGTTCCATTTTTATGGTTCGAAATCAGATTTTGTTCAACACACAGGGAGCCATCCCTGTGGAGGGCTGGCGGCTGAGTTGACCATTGACTCGAAGTTCTAGTGACTGCTGTAGGACAATAGTCTGTAGTCACACACAAAAAAGAATATACACAATTATAAAGTTCTAACGACCGTGACTTGCAGGGGCTGAGGACGACGACAATGGCCCAACAAGAGAGCGGTGGCATGTGAAAGTGGACCACGTTGACCTTGGACTCGGGTTCTGGTGAAAGCACCCTTTGATAATGACTAATTGCACTCAGTAGTTCCCACTGATACATGGTTTTTATCAACTACTCCACAAAGAGCACCTCCACAAAAAATATGGAGTGTGAGAGCACTCCATCTTTTTCTTCTTCTCGAGCACAGTACGTGGAGCTGAACCTATTTAACTAAAAAACGTGGAGTGGAGCAGTCTAAACGTCCCCTGAGATAGATTCCCCGAGAACGTTGTTGTACCAGCGTAGGTAACTCTTGTTCACACAGGTCTAGAAAAGACAGTTGTTTGTGTTGATGTTTGAGTGATCTGCTTGATGCCTTGCTAGCGTTGTTTTCCCTCGGAGCCACACAGGTCTAGAGAAGACAGTTGTTTGTGTTGATGTTTGAGTGATCTGCTTGATGCCTTGCTAGCGTTGTTTTTTTAAACCTTGCTAGCGTTGTTTCCCCTCGGAGCTATGAATACTCACCGCCCCCCCCCGAAAATCGCTGGCATGATTATACCGAGAGATTTACATACAGCTTGTCAAAATCAAGCCGGGAAAACCACTTAAACACACATGGCCTCTACAGAATACTGAATAGAGCAACATTTGTCGCTGCTGGTACCCAAAATAGTGCACATGACGAATTATGGAAATTTTGCTAAGGTTGCTGGAACTCAGCAGGTCCTTTTCGATTCTGTTCGAAATCGATGTGGTTTTAAGTTTTAACATGCACGTTACCAATTCGCCTGGGTGGACCAGAGCCAGAGGTGACCGGGCAGAAGGATGAGGAGAGAAGATATACGTATCGTCATGCAGGCAAGAAAAGGCTCACAAGCAATGAAGCAAACGTGTCGTGCGTTGCACTGAAACGAGAGGACGCAGCAGAAAGCTTGTGTGTTGCCGCGCTGTGCCCAAATCGGCTCACAGCTCCCAAAACTAGCTAGACGCAGAGAGACCGTCACCTTTTTGCCATTTTCGTGTAAAATGGCTTATGGCTTACCGTGGCCGCCTCGTGACCGCGCGCACGATGATATGCTGATGAGCAACACGCGTGAGGCGTTCCAGGTTGAGAGCTGCATGAGAAGGGAAAAAAGAGGAGACGAAGTGTCCGGTGCAGCGTGTGGACGGTGCAGGGCTTGCCTGAACGAGGTCGAAGTCGAACATGCCATGTGTATGGTAATGGCGCCTTTGACAGGAGGCCAGAACAGTACAACAGAAACTCCGAAACAACAATAGGATGTGCTCACCTCGGCTGTCTATATAGAGGAATTTGTGTCCCTTTGAAGACAAATTCAGGACGTGCACCTGCAGCAAGGCGTTCGGGACTCCATCACTTGGCGTTGGACCCACGATGGGACTTACTCCACCCGTTCTGCCTACAGGCACTACCGGAAACAGTGACTTTGCCGTGTGCCACAGGCACTTGGCAAAGACCAAAAAACACTCGGCAAAAAGAACACGGCATCTACAGTGTCGGCAAACAACTATTTGCCGAGTGTTTTTTTATCGCACACTCGGCAAATGGTTTGCCGAGTGTCAAATTTGACACTCGACAAAAAAAGTGGTTTGCCGAGTGTTTTTCGAAAATACACTCGGCAAAAAAAGTGGTTTGCCGAGTGTTTTTGGGAATTACACTCGGCAAACCTATTTTTCAAAGAAAAAAAATAATTTTTTTTCTCAGCATACCATTATTGTTTGCCGAGTGTTTTTGGGAATTACACTCGACAAACCTATTTTTCAAAGAAAAAAATAATTTTTTTCTCGGCGTATTTCAGTTTAATAGCATTTTCGATCCCAGCGGGAAGTAAGAAGGCCAGCACATTGATATCCATAAAATAAGAATGCCAGGTTGGTGGTTGGTGTTCGCTCACACTAGCAATTATAGGGATGTACTTGCTTGCATAGGTTCTATCAAGAGCAAAAGGAAAAGCTGAAGGACAAACAATCAATGTGTCAACTTATACCGGAAAAGAAGAAATATGTGTCAACTTATACCGGAAAAGAAGAAATATGGATTGATTGTATAACAAAAATTGATAATAGGTTTAACAACAACTAGGGGAAAAACACAACAGAGGTCCATTTGACAACAAATATACTCTCTTATAGTAAGTATCAGATCTAACTACATTAAATCTTAAAAGTTTGTGTTCCTAGAGACCAAATATAATATCTTACTTTGCACAGAACATCAAGAGCTCAACAGTTTAAAATTATAACATCTTACATTAAATGGATAGCTAGCAGTTCAGTGACCTAAACATGAACAACTGCTTCATTTTGACTCCTAGGGAACAAATCCGTCTTTGCTCAAAATTATGAACCATTAAGAGAACATTTTCGATCCCCTAGCTTCTCCTTCCTCACATGAAGCAAAAGAACAAGAGCAAAAGAACTCGAGAAATGGCTCAGATTTACCCATTATCAGCATGACAACTGCAACTTAATTTCACTTGGAGCTTAATTTAATTCTCTCTCTCTAATGGGAATTGAACTGTCCACGGAACTGATTGCTTGTACTGGTACAAGCCATCCTAGTTAAACAGCAAACAGAACAAATTATCCCAAGTACCAACTCATAAGTTGCTAAAGTGTAGAAGTTCTCTAATGGAAACTTTTCATCACAGCCACTCAAGAGTAGTACAAAACAAAAAAAAGTCACAAGGTATAATTAGGGAAGGGGAGAGCAGCGCAGCACGAGATTGGGGTTCCATATCATCTCAGCTCCGTAAATATCACATATCAAAATGATTGATCAGGTTGATATACGCAAGATATTCAAGATACTGTTTGGCTTAAACCAGCATTCAGCCATCAACCATAGAAAAAAGAACTTTCATTGGTCAGCTGAAAGCAATAGCGAAGACAAATACCCCCATGTACTTCACCAGTACCAAAAACTCTACTTACTTTTATAATGTACAATCCTATAAAGGTCAACTCCCCATCTTGTTAATTCATAAATATATAGACAAGCAAACTTAACGTTGAATCATGCTGATCGGTAATCAGAATGATGGCACCAGAATCCATGTTGAATCATGCTGATCCTTTAATATATACTGGCATACTATTAGTGGAACTGCTGGACTGGACTGTTCACCGTTGGCAAGGTTACAAACAAGAATAATGACCAGGCACAGAATCACAGAACGTCACTAAGAAGTAATCTGAATATCAACTATTAGCTAAAGGTTGGCACGGTTTCCATGATCATTCATCACACTGAGCTGCAACAGCTAACAATTGTCTAGAAGTAAATGAACTACCGTCAGGCGGTTAATCAGACGAGTTGTAGCCGTGCAAACCAGTATAAATTTACAGATCTAAAACTAAAACCGGGTCACCTTTGGCACAAAATTATGGCACATCCGCATCTAGAAAGAGCTGCTAATCACTACTGACATATCATTGGCATAACAGCATTGAGTCAAAACAATGATTTAGATTCAAACTGACTCCAAATCCTGATACTGCGACGACGCAGAACCGCATCGCGCGAGGCCGATTCTCGCGACAGGCAGTATCCTGAACTATGACAGACGGCCGGGTAGGTGGGATGACTTACCAGGTGGCCTCCATCCATGCCACCACCTCCACCACCACCCATGCCGCCTCCCCACAGCCGCGCCGTCCTCCCCACAACGCCCGACGTAGCCACGCCACATCCCCACGGTCCCGCCGTCCTCCCATGCTAGATCTGCCGCTCCTGTGCTGGATCCCACCGTGTCCGCCGTTGTCGAAGCCACCGAGCCAAATCCGCGCCGCCACTGAGCGAGGGAGGGAGTCTGGGCCCGCGCCGCCGTGCTGAGCGATGGCGTGGCTGCCTTCCCTGCCCTGGATCCGTGGCCACCTTCTCTGCCCTGGATCCACGCCACCGTGCTGAGTGAACGAGGGAGGGAGCTGGATCCGGCCACCCCGCTCGCACCGGCGCTGGCCGCCGCCTCCGCGGGTGGGGGTCGCCCCGCCATGGATCCGCACCGCCGACGCTGGTGGGGGCCGGCCCGCCCTGGATCCGCGCCACGGGAGACAGCTGCCGCGAGGACCCGTGCTCGCCGCCCACCGCCTCCGCCCGCTGCCACCATGGATCTGAGCACCGGCGAGGGAGAGACGCCACGCCATGGATCCGGGCGCCGCAAGGGTGAGAGGCAACTCCACCGCGCCTAGCCACGCCCCACCCACAAAGCCACACCACCGTGCCGCGCCCGCAACGCCGGGCCACCCCTCCACCACGCCTGTGAAGTAGCCCTGGTGTGCCCACGCTGCCGTGCCCTCCACCGAGAGAAGTGAGGGAGAGGAAAGAGTGAGAGAGGTGACGGAGAGACGAGGAGACGGGGAGAGAAGTGAGGGCGTGACTGGGAGACGGGAGGGGTGGGT